TTCCTGTTTGAGACCTTCCCGTTTCGGTGCCAAATTAAGACATTTAAAAATCCAATTTTCCGTTCTACTCACTGGTAGTTGTTTTAAGATCAAATTGTCCACAGGAAAAATTCAGCGCTCTCCGGCAACAGCAATGCGGCTTCACTCCGTGAAAGAAGCAGTCAATTCGAAGCACCGCGCCACTCACCCCACGTCGCTCCAGATCCCCGAAACCGGGTTTCCCTGCGAGTAGGGGAGGCATAAAAGGTGCCAGCCGAATCCCACGTTCACAGGCTTCTCCCGCCTGTGATTTTTGATAGGTCCCCGCCTTCGCCATGGCGGCCAGACCCTAATTTCCACGAAGCAAATTCCTCCCGATCAGAGGAGTTCAGCCATTACCGGAGGCGCTAACCCAGAAGTCGAAACTCTGACTAGTTTAAACTGTGGTTGGTTCAAACAAGCCAAGCTCCAACCATGGTTTACGATCCTGACTGGTTGACTAACCTTGGTTAGGGATCTCTTGCTTGTGGACACACTAGAGGAGAGGGGAGGGAGGAGGTCATAAGCCTGAGCCTTGTCACAGATGTGAAAGGCACACTATTGGGCTGTGTGTTGTCCTCAGACAGAGCATATTCACTGCACGCTGTACATCCCAACCCAAAGACTCTCCCACTCTCTTTTCTTGGAACGAGGAGAAAAAGATGCATGCCTCTTTAGAGTCCCATGAGAGAGCTGTATAAAATGTGATTTAGTATACAGTGGTATCTCGGGTTACATATACTTCAGGTTACATACGCTTCAGGTTACAGACTCCGCTAACCCAGAAATAGTGCTTCAGGTTAAGAACTTTGCTTCAGGATGAGAACAGAAATCGTGCTCCGGTGGCGCGGCAGCAGCAGGAGGCCCCATTAGCTAAAGTGGTGCTTCAGGTTAAGAACAGTTTCAGGTTAAGAACGGACCTCTGGAACGAATTAAGTTAACTTAACCCAAGGTACCACTGTACCTGTTACACTCCCCAAACTAGTGAGGAGCCTGAATTACTAGGCAAGACAATATAGGCTGTGTAGGTGGAAAAACTCCACGAGAAAACAGAGCTACTGTGTCATTCTGCAACTGCAACCCTTCTTAATGCCAAAGTGGACATACAGAGCAGTTGCTGCCAGTGTCCTGACGTCACCCTCTTCCTACAGGAATCAAGGTATTGAAGAAAGGGACTCGCTATATCCACTCTTACACCTGAGCAACCTTGTTTTTGCTCATTTACACAACAAACAATGTGACACTCCACATTGGCTGTGTACTGCGCAGTGCAGGCATTGTGAGCAAGCTGTGAGGAAGCAGTAATCACACTGTATTGCTCGGGTATTCACCGCTATCTTAATTGTTAAATATTAAGAACGCTTTTAGCCAATCTGCACCGAGATTAACAGCAGCGACAAAAGCTCGCACAAAAAGGGCAGGGAATAATTAAAAACTACAGTGGCAACACTAGGGATGTGAGGAAGATTTAAACTCCACCCTCGGGGAATAATTGGCTGCTGTTTATTCTACAGATGGATGGTGTGTGTACAACAAAAAGCAGAGCAGATTTACGAGCTTTCCTCCCCTTTTCCCTAATTTTGTTTTTCGGCCCTTGACACAGTTGCTGAAGCCTACAGCAGGAGCAAAGAGTTGAGAGGCAACTCAGAAACAAACTGTTGATACTGCCAGGACTTAATTTGTGCCAGGCCTCCATCTCACAATTCCCAAGCCTGGCACATGTGGAAGAGATTTTTGTCCGATTCAGATGCACAGTGAAATTCTCTTAACAACTACAGAAATTGAGGGAGGGGCACCCCAACATACATCAAGGTTTTCAGCTTAATTTATTTGTGGAGTTTTGTACTCTCCAGTAGTTCTGTGGAGCATAAAATCTGGCAGCTATCTTGTCCTCACAATAACCGTGTGAGGTAAATTAGGCTGAAAGATACAGGACTGGCTCAAGGCTTCCCAGTGAGCTTCAGTGGAGTTCAGGGAATTCAACATAGGACTCCCATGTCTCAGCAAAAACACTCCCCCCACCACCTGTGGGAACCCCCAAGCAATACATGTTGAACCAGCGCAGTCTGTTTGGGGCAGGAGGCGTTTGCAGGCACTAGTGCGAGACGGTGGGCTGGGGAGTTATGAGATCCACTTGCTCTCTCACCTTCCACTGGTGGATTTAACTAGAAGCCTTTCCCCTTCTGCAACAGAGACCAGAAAAGTGTCCAGAGCCCAGTGGCAGCAGACTGTATTTAGCTCTAAGCTGTGTTTTGTAGTAACTCTGTAACCAGGCCTTTGGGTGATTAAACAATCTAGGGGATTATTTTTGTTTGTTTGTTATATGTATTTTGAGTTTTCATTTTGTGTTTTTATGCTGTAACGCATCCTGTGGTCTTTGGGTGAAAGGCAGTATATAAATTTAACAACAACAACAACAGTACTCTAACCACTGCAAAATAGCGATGGCTCTCAGATCAGACTTGGTGATCTAGTCCCTGCTTCTCAATTTGTGTAAATAAACAGATGCTGAATAATGCACGTAGCTAAGGGACACATGCTCTCGATTACAAGGGGCCATATTCAAGCAAATTGTGCTAGTAGCAGAAACCAGTGCAACGATTCACGCGTCCCCTAACCCTTCCCCTACTTTCCTCCTACCACCTTCCCAGTTCTGCTCTATGGAGTTGGGACACACACACACACACACACCCCAAAACAACACACAGGTGGAATAGAGATTGTTCCATCGAGCAAGCAGAAATGCTTGCACTGACTACGGTTTCCTTAATGTTATGTTGAACACAGCCCAATATTTTTCTCCCACCTTTTGGTGGAATGGGTCTCCAAGGTGGCTTACCAACTTAGAAAAAGATAAGACATTAATTAGGGCTGCTCTGATCTCAGGCCAGTCAATCGCATTTTGTGTGGGTTTGTGAAGGGTGGTTTTTTTTGCGTTTTTGTAAAAAAAAAAATGTCAAAAACTTTGGTGTTTGTCTATAAAAAAGCTCAACCACTTTCGGGATGTCCTGGCTTTCACTTTTTGAAATATGGCAACCAAACAATAATAAAATTCCATACGATCCACCAGTAAAACCCTAGCAAACTGGTTTCTAACACACAATAGTTCATTCGGTATAGCACAAGATTCTTCATCTCCATGACAGGGAAAACCCCGTCTCTCTGAAAAAGCAGTGCCTTAGCCAACCACCTAAAAAAGGAAGGGAAAGACACAAGGAGGTTAAAGGGGCTTTCCTGAGAGTTTGCAGAAGTGCCACATTAATCTGATATTTCTACCATGAGAAAATAGCTTTTAGGTACAAGCCAGAGTAACCTCCTATCCAAAGCAACTGCTAAGGGGGCTTCCAAAGAACAGTTTAGAGTTATAATGAACAAAAACCTCAATTCAATAATGCAAGGTATATTATGCTGTGAGGAAAGTGAGATCAAGCTCCGATTTATGAAATCTGCCAACAAATACTGTTTGCGTAATGTCACTGTAAACAAAAAAGGCCCCTTCTCCTCCCAAGCAAGCTGACTTTGCCAGTGTCTAGCTTCAGTCATGCCAGATGTTTGCTAATGATGTACAAACAGTAGTCACTTAAAAATTATTGTTCCAAAAGCTGTACACCTTTTCAGAAGTCTTCATTAATGTGCAGAAGCACAAGATGTGACCTGTATCCATTCAGCAGCTGGAGACAAATGTCAAGTAAATAATTCCAATTAAAGACAGCTATGCTAATTATAAATGAGACCTGGACTCCAGCCAAAACCACTGCTGCATCCCAATGTCGTTTGATTAAGCGGCGGAAATCAATCTTCAATGACACATCCCTCGATTAACAATAAAGAGCGAGGAATGGGGATCTCTTCCAAAGTTTCTCTCAGATGGGAAATAACGTAGAGAATCAGACCTGCGGTGGCTGGCTGCTCCAGAGTCCATCGCAGCTAACAATGCCAAGAGAAAGGCAGAATAAGAAACTAGGGCCAAAGGCTACATTTGTTCTGACTGTCACAGCATGGCTAATGAACTTTCCATCACCTGTTAACCCTTTTTTACAAGCCTGTGGACAGGGGTGTACGAAGGGGGATGGGGGCGGTCCGCCCTGGGCATCACTCAGGGGGGTGACAAGTTGACCCACTGCCCCCCCCAGCTGTAGAGCGGCCGAGGGCGCACACACAGTTTGTATGGGCGCCACTCGCGTGGCATCCGTACGGGCTGCTGCTCTTGCGCGCCATCCATGCAAGCATCTGTATGGGCTGCCTCTCGCACAGCAACCATACAGGCTGCCACATGTGTGCAGTCTGTATGGGATGCCGCGCATGCGTCCCACCCCAGATGCCATAGAGGGTTCCTCTGCCACTGCCTGTGGAGAACAAGAAAGGGTAATTGTGGCTAAACCGATGTGCTATGAGTGTTCCACTGAAACCCAAATTCAGGTTCTCAGAGTGTTCAAGTGGACAGCTTGCAATAGCTGGCTTTTAATTTTCAGACCAGATAGGAGAAGTCATCACCTCCTGACTGCTTTCTGAACTATGCCTTGATTGCATCTTCAGCCTGACAGCATTTTGTAACACCTGATATCAGAGGATTTGAAGAGATTACGGGACATGGTTACCGCTTGGTGCCACAACGAAGGTTACACCTCAGTTAGTGAAATAAGAAGGAGACATAAACTGATGTTTCATTGCACAACAGAAAGAAACACAGACTACAAGGGATTTGCTTACAAGGCTAGCACAGGAGAAGAATGGTTTGAGGCAACGGAAGCAGGAGATTCCTTTGAATTCTGGCCTGATGCTTCAGGCTAAAAAGCATTGCAGAGTTATTGTTCTTTTATAAAAAGGTTTTAGAAGAGTGTCGCACTGATGCACAACAGAGACCAAACGTGTGAACAAGCAAATCGAGGCAAGCAGCACAGGTATTGGTAATTTACTCAAAATATGCATTATAACATCATCTTGTAGAGACATCACCTTGCCAACAAAGGTCCGTATAGTAAAAGCTATGGTTTTCCCAGTAGTAATGTATGGAAGTGAAAGCTGGACTATAAAGAAGGCTGATCGCCGAAGAATTGATGCTTTTGAATTATGGTGCTGGAGGAGACTCTTGAGAGTCCCATGGACTGCAAGAAGATCAAACCTCTCCATTCTTAAGGAAATCAGCCCTGAGTGCTCACTGGAAGGACAGATCGTGAAGCTGAGGCTCCAATACTATGGCCACCTCATGAGAAGAGAAGACTCCCTGGAAAAGACCCTGATGTTGGGAAAGATGGAGGGCACAAGGAGAAGGGGACGACAGAGGATGAGATGGTTGGATAGTGTTTGCGAAGCTACCAGCATGAGTTTGACCAAACTGCGGGAGGCAGTGGAAGACAGGAGTGCCTGGCATGCTCTGGTCCATGGGGTCACGAAGAGTCGGACACGACTAAACAACTAAACAACAACAACATGCATTATAACCTCGGGAGGACAACGTCATTAGAAAACCAAAGTATCCTTCGCTCAGAATCAACGCATGGGGTTTATTCAATGAAGTCATTGCACGAGTGGAATGACTTCCACTTGTGTGATGAAATGGCCATTTCCTCTCTCTCCCCCACCAAAGCAAATCTGCTCCTGGGTTTCTCCCAACACTTGGGAGAAGATGTGGGGAATGCACAGTGAGAAAAGAGGGAGAACAAGCTCCATTTGCAATGAGAGGAAGTCATTCCACCCACGGAATGACTTTGCTGGCTCCAACCCTGAATACCTAAAGCCTTCCCACACCCTCCTACCATGGGTATGTTAGTTATTATTCTAAGTTGTCAAAAAAATTTATGCCCTATCAGTAAAAGCAGTGTCAGATGCTTATGGGTAGAAAATGGAGTTAAAGCATTGTGCAAAGGATTAACTGTGGGGGGTTTTGGGTGGGGGACAAAAAAGTATGACGAAGGGCAAGTGATAAACTGAAATAATAGCAATCCAAACATGGGGTTACATTATCAAAGTAACAAGAGCTTTAAAGGGGGGCATCACAAAGGGGGGGAAAAACCAAACAATGTCGTTGAAGCTCTGCCCCCAGCTCAGTTCGTACTCCCCCATTTGCCAGCCACATATTCAGCAAAAGGATAAGGGGCCCTTGAGAGCAAAGCGTATCAACATGTGAATGTAATTTGCTCCACATGAGGAGGAATCTAGAAAATCTGGGGAGAAAAGAGATAGAAAGAAGGAGAAAGTAAATCTACATCTTGTGTATTACAATACACAAATTTTAGCTACTACACCAACGATACCGTTTCTGGAAGATGACAGACCTACTGTCATTTTTACCCAGGTATGGTGTCATTTGTACTATTCTCAATACTGGGAGAAATCCAATGGAGTGCTACAGCAATCGTTCTGTCAGTGTGCAAGCTTTTTAGCTTGCCAAAAGGAACCCCCTGTCCTCTCTCCCATGTGGTGTTTATCAACCATTATAAGATAGTACTTTGCTTTGCCTCTTTAAGATAGTGTTCTGGAGGTTAACCTGACACACACACCCCCAAGCCATTTTTAGGGGAGGAAAGCCCCATTGTGCTGGTGGGCCTTGTTAGTTGAAACTCTTGAAGATGGTTTGGAAATCTCTTCTGGTGGCCTTTGACACTAGGAGAAGAATTCACTCTCTTTCTCTATAGGACCCATCTTGTACTTCTCATTGTAAACTGTGTTCACTTTTGAGCTCTTCCAGCTGAAAGAGGCCCAAGTGCAACAGCAACATCCGATGCCCTGACAAATGCAGCAGTAATATGAATGCCAAGGCCATAAATTAAAAGGCATTCAGTGTTGTTCCGCCGAAGAAAATACATATTAAATCAGAAGATCCTCCCAAGCTAGAGGCAGGCAAGAATTTAATTACGTGTAACAATAGAGTGAGTCTAATCAAGCTTTATATCTAGCCCAAGATGCAGAGTTATTAAAACCTGGAGAGATTTTTTAATATTTTTGCAAGCCTCTTTGTTCAAAGCAAGACAATCTCGGGCACGGAAATTGTACGGAATCTACTTTAGAAGAAAAGGAAGAGCAGTGATTTTCAAAGGACAAGCTAAAAGTTAATTCAAGGTAATCAAAAGAAAGTAGCAGCAACTTCCTGATACAAGAGTTTGTTTACTAAGGTGGTGGTGGTGGTTTTTTAGCCTACCTCCATCCCAGGGGCACAAGATGGGAAACAATGGCAAATATTTTAGGATTACAGTGGTACCTCTGGTTACATACTAATTTGTTCCAGAGGTCCGTTCTTAACCTGAAACTATTCTTAACCTGAAGCACCAGAGCAAAGTTCTTAACCCGAGGTACTATTTCTGGGTTAGCGGAATCAATAACCTGAAGCGTCTGTAACCTGAACCGTATGTAACCTGAGGTACCACTGTAATGGCAAAATGTTTCCCTAAGCAGCAGTAGTGATGGTCGCATGTGAGACCTTGCCAAGGCGGGCCACAGCAGCAGAAACAGTAGATTGGGTCCTCCCTTAAAGAGGGCATGTATTGTAGTGAGACCTGGAAACCGACACCCTGTGTTCTGGGTGGGTTTGATTGGTCAGCCACAACACCTGATTGGTAGGTCCCTCAATGCTGGGTTCAATTGGGCCAATGGGGCAGAGTCCAAAGGAATCGAGGGACCTATTTATGCCCATGAACGTGACCCAGAGCTTCCTCTTTCGGCGCGTGCATTCGGAACACCCGCCCACCTCTCCCTACTTTTAGAGCTTCTGCGCTTGACCTTGCTATGCTGGCGTGTGTCGTCTGTCGTTGGGACAGGGGCACGGCAGGAATTTTCCCACTTAGCCGATTGGCTGTTGCCATTTGGGTTTCGCCTGCCACGTAGCAAATCGTCACAACTTGTAAGGTTGCGGATAGGCTCTGGTTCAGGTGATAGGGATGGGAGAACGCTCTTGCCATCCCTATGTGAAGGGTATTCCGTTAAAGGAATCCAGGGACTCGATGGTTTGGTCAACCCCTGAAAGTGGGTTGTGCCCGTGCCTGAGTCCAGGGGGACATTTGGGTGGTGGAGATAGCCTGTTTGAGCCTTTTTGTTTTTTACTTGTGATGACAGGAGCTGAAATGGGTCCTTATATTTTATCAGTCCAACATTTTAAATGCATGTATGGCATGTTATTTGACGCAGTGCCTGCTGACGCCTCCTAGGGCACTCATAAAGGTCTCAGTAAATATCACCTTGAATACTGCTAGAATAGTCTGCCACAAGTTAAATATCCTATTGTGCATGAAGAAAGTACAAGGCACACAACACGGCACACACCTTAGGCTTCTCAATTTCCTTTGCACAACCACACATGCGTATTTTGACACTGCTCTTGCAGAGCACTGGAAGGTAGTTTTAGCGAGCTTAGCATTAGGACATACCTTTTCCTGGGGAGAAACAAATCTGAATTCAACGGCTTGAGTTCAGCCACCCTAAAGCCCTTGCAGGAGGAAAAGCCAATGTTCCTTTAAAAGTCAACCTTGAACTTTTGACAAAAAAAGTTTATGGCCGACTGAAGCACCGAACAGTCTGTGTGATGTGACACAAATTGGACAGAGAATTCCCATTACCATTAATGGAAGCTAGAAGGGTTCGTTGAATGCCCCGGCACAACACTGGACGACTGCAATTTGCTAATGTACTTATAATTGAGTAACGTCAACTCAATGCAAAAGCACAAATCTTTGAGAATTCATTTTTCTCTGTGTCGATATAATCTGTAATCCAATGTGATAGGTTGCTCAGAAGATTGCTATAGAGTGCTAATTGAGACTAAATTCAAAAGCATCAGCAACAGCTGTGAATAAAAGGGTTCTACGCACGACATGCATTTTTAGAAATACCATCCTATATCATTCTACTTAAATGCCGCCAAACCCAACATTTATACCTAACATTATCAGCCATCCACGTACCACTTGCCAGGCCACTTCCTCCCCTGCCCCCAAGCATTTAAGGTGGTGCTTATGTGCACTGGCTTATAGGATCCTATGAATCCACCAGATGCAGCACAACAGTCGGAAAATGATTATCCTTAATAAACGCTGCATATGATGTGCTAAACTCTGCACAAAACAAGCCCCTTACGATGTAGGGATCTGTAACTTTTTTATTTATTTGCAAAGCTTCTCACCCCTCTCCTCAAGAAGCAAGTTCCCAGATCGGCTAACAGAATTAAAAGCATGGGGGAGGGGGGGAGGGGAAACGTCAAGAATACAGAATAATAAAAGAACACGATAAAACAGCAGGAAAGATAATTCCAGCACTAAAACTCATTAGAGCTGACAGCTCTGAAAGGGCTGTGCAAATAAAAAGCTCTTCACTTTGGGGTGTGTTTTAAAAAATTGAAAAATGAAATGAATGCACCCACATTTGTTCAGAAGTAAAATGAATGTAGAAAAATAAAAAAATGAAGATGGAAAACCAACAAGAGCACATTCAGTTTTGTTTTCTACATTTTGCTTGTTTGTTTATCACATTTGTTTTGTTCCATCTGCCCCAAAACAGATAAGATGCCTGCAAATTGCATGCCATTTAGGCAAAAAAATGCCAAAGATGAAGGGAGCAAAAGACCTATGTGTGGGTGGGTGTGAGAGAGAGACTCCACAAAGCATCAATCAAAAAACAAGAATGGAAGGTAGACAATGAAGGTAATCAAAATGAAGGTAAAACAAAAAGAGTGTGGCTTTAACATGAAAACAAAAATGAAATGAAGTTGGGTCATCATGTGACAGAGAAGCCTATACATCAGGCATAGGAAAAACTCGGCCCTCCAGATGTTTTGGGACTACAATTCCCATCATCCCTGACCACTGGTCCTGTTAGCTAGGGATGATGGGAGTTATAGTCCCAAAACAAATGGAGGGCCAAGTTTGGGGGTGCCTGCTATTCATACTCATACACTGTCTTCCCTGGTTCCCTAGGCCCAAGTCAAACCAACATAAACTTCCAAAGGGGCCCTTTTGCCTTGCCTACAGGGAGAGAAAAGGGATTTGGGGAAAAGCAGGGTTTCAACTTCTATGTTTTTTGTCAGGTCAAAGCTTTCTCTCCGCAAGGTCTAGTCAATATTGTTCAATGTGTGAGTGGGGAAGGCGAAAGTCCTTTCATGGTCCTAGAGCAGGGGAGACAATATGGCCAAGTCCATGGCAGGAGCATCAGCTCCCTGTAATCTCATTAGAATAACTACAGCAGCAAAAGAAGATCTCTGGGTTTGGTTCACTTTCCTGCCTACCTATCATATTGGCCCGAATATAAGCCGCACTTCCCCCCCCCAATTCCGACTGTGAAAAGTTAAAGTGCTGCTTATATTCAGAGCCGAGCACCGGCACCGGCCACCCCTTGTCCCCCGTTCAGGGCGGTAGTGGCGGGAGGTGCGCCGCACCCGCAAATGAGCCTTGAATTTTGAAGGTGCAGCTTATTTGCGGGTGCGGCTTATAGTCGGGCCAATACGGTATAATGGGATTTCGTTTTGGCTGAGACAGTTCCACGCTGGTTCTGACCTGTAAAGAGGACCTCGTATAAAGACATCCAAAGCCAGGATGGACAGTAAGCAGCAAAGAGGAAAAAAGAAAAGGTTGAAAAACAACATTTTCCCCTTCTCCAGAGCTGAATGCAATAACTCAAGGGAAAAGATAGTGGTTTTGTACCTGCGACAGGAATCTAGGTACAGCCGGACACAAACTTCCATTACCTAGCCAAACAATAGCGTGAAAAGTGGCAGTGTTGTTTTTCTCCCTTAAGATATATCTTCCTGGTCAAAGAAACAGCCTGTTGTCTGTTGAAGATAAAGGAACAGAGTTGGCAAAGTGACTCAGGGGAGGGTCTGATTGATTGAAGGTTTATGAAACTTTTAAGACAACAGCCCACTGAGCTGCCGCCTTGATTCCCCCACCATTTGCTTTGAATTACTGGCACAGCCAGTATCTGATGGTTTGGCTTAAAACTGACTCAGCAATACATTCGTTACCGCCAAGATACAGGTTGCATCAGTGATCCTTCACTCTCTTTCAAGCACAGTTTACCAGGTGGTAGATTTAGACACTGGGTTATGAGCTACTCTTGCATTTTGATTCCCAAAGTATACATTATTTAGCAAGCGCACTTATTTCCATCTCCTTCTCCTGCAAACAAATGAGAGTTTCTCCTGCAGTAACTGAAGTTGCAGCTGGACAAGCATAGCAGCATTCTAATATGACCCTTTTTTAATTGATGCATCACCCACAAATCACCTACATCAATTTCAAAAAAGTTTAAATGTGTGTAATACAAGTTTTGCAAAAGACGCAAGAGAGACAGGTCTACTCTGTTATATACCTTACACGAAATTATTATTTTCTGGTAGAATTAATAGTTCAGATAAAAATTCAGTAACCAGCAATGAATTTTGTTACAAGCTGGGAAGGAGAAAATGAATAGACAAGACCTGCAGGAATTCACGGGGGCTAGAAGAGACTGAGAAAAGGAAAGAGATTATCCATTCTTCTCAGTGTTCTTGGCCCTGCTTGTGAACACATCTGACTTAGCAAGCCAACTATGTCCAGACCATATGTCTATGGAGCTTGGGAGCTACCCATGAATAATGTCACATCATCTCAGCTCATGACGTAGTGGCTCAAGTTTCAGGGGAAATCAGAGATCAAATCCCCTCTCAGCCATGAATCTCACTGGGTGATGTTTGGGCAGTCACTATCTCTCAGCGTTGTTGTGAAGATAAAATGGACAGGGCCAAACAACACACGCTGCCACAGTCTCCTGGGAGAAAGAGCAGAATAAAACGTTAACAAGCCTTTGTGCAAAGATGCTTTTCTTATCAGCGCCAGCTTTAAAGTTACCATCACTGAAGTCCCTGAGATTTTGCCCAGATTCCCCCAGACCAGGGAAATTAGAACAAAAGGGATTTACTGGTAGGAACTGGAGGTAGTCCTGCTGAGCCAAATGTTAAAGTATCTGTTTCAATTTCTCTCCACATTTGCATTTTGATTAAAAATTCTCTGTAGGGACCAAAGTTCACAATAATCTATCCTTTTAAAGTTTTGGCTTCTTCTGGTTAGACTGCCCATAAAGCAGACCTAACTCTGCCCTTGATATCTCTGCTGTGTCCAATGGCAGCACATGCCCCAGATGCTTGGTTATGCAATCGGCGACTTCGGAAACGTATATAAGCTTTCCTACACTATCCTAGGAGGGACGCGAGTGGCACTGTGGGTTAAACCACAGAGCCTAGGACTTGCCGATCAGAAGGTCAGCAGTTCAAATCCAGTAAAGCGAGATGAGCGCCACAATCCCAGAGTTGTCTGTGACTGGACCTAATGGTCAGGGGTCCCTTTACCTTTACCCTATACTAAGGTGAATATTTGCTTATATTTCCCATGGGATGCGGGAAGAGAGAGTTGCTTACTGAGGCTGCCACCTCCTCTTCCTGCTACTGCTGCTGCTTCCAGCTCTTTCTGCCCACCTAGCTCCTTCCCTCGGACCAGGCACAAGATTCTTCCTTCACTACGAACTCCCAGGAGCAACAGCAAATGAGGACAAGGAGGCCTCAGTAAGCAACTCTCTCCCCTCGCATCCCACTCCCCCCCCCCATGAAGCCATTTCCAGTTAGCGTACCTCAGCAAAGAAGGGGAATTCAGGACTCTGCACGAATAAGTGAGAAGCCGTGATGGCCTACAAGTTTTCACGACGGTCCTGGCATTTTCAGGACAGTTGGAGACCATGAGCTTCTGTACATCTGCCCAATAGTGGAAGACCACATGGCCTTCTAAAGGATTCACTCTTCTGCCAGGGGAGTTTTGGAAGGGCATATTAAATTATTTTAAAATATGTATATGTTTGTTACATTTGTTTTTTATAAAAATAGTCTCAATCTGGATTAAGGGAGGGTGAAAGGTATGGGCTGGTGTTTTGATGAGGGCAGCATTGTGAGGACACTGAGAAAACCTTCTGAGCATCAGCCCCACAAACTCCACAATAAACTGCTAGGTGGAAAGTAGTGCATGCCATGGCAAGTCCTCGACAATGTATCAGCTGGGTCCTTCAATCAGAGCTTGGATTTACTAGTACTGGAGATTAACACTGGTAGACATGAGGCAAATAGTAGGAGCTCTTGATGCCACCAGGTGGTCCTTTACTTTGAGATGCAGGGGCATAAGAGGAGCAATGGTCTCTCAAGCAGCATTGTTCCATGTTTTTAGGGCTTTTGAAACAATTAGCAACACCTTGAACCTGGCCCAGTAACCTAAAATTAGTCAACACAACTGCTTCAGCCTAGGTACAACATGTTGACAACATTTAGCTCCAGCAGCAGCCTCATAGCACTAACAGCAGCATCAAGGGCATCAATCACGTCTTGAGATTACCAGTGTATGGACCACAATGGTGAGGTTATCCTGGCCCATGAATGAATGTTGCTAATGTACCAGCCAAAGCGAGCTACTTGAGTCACCACTGACAAAGATGAATCAGTGAGTACCACCATAACCTTTTCTGCATATGGCATTGAACCATAAGATGGTATATCCAGCCACAGCAGGAGATTGTTTAACACAGGCTTCCTCAACCTTGGCCCTCCAGATGTTTTGAGACTATAATTCCCATCATCCCTGACCACTGGTCCTGCTAGCTAGGGATCATGGGAGTTGCAAGCCAAAAACATCTGGAGGGCCGAGGTTGAGGAAGCCTGGTTTAATGCCTCCATTTTCAGTTGCTCCTATTCCTCAGACTCACATTTAAAGGATTTGCATCACACATTCTAAAAAGGATAATACTCACTCAATGAAATTAAGAAACAAATCAATATATACTACTCTGCAGAAGAAGTAAATGGACACAAACCTAATATAAATAGATGGAAGTATTCAGAAATCAGTGAGAGAACATTTCCATTCCCCTCCCCTCCCCACACACTACAGCTGTTAAGCACACACCCATACCCCAAATTTTGAAAGAAGAAGAAGAAGAAGAAGAAGAAGAAGAAGAGGAGTTTGGATTTGATATCCCGCCTTTCACTCCCTTTAAGGAGTCTCAAAGCGGCTAACATTCTCCTTTCCCTTCCTCCCCCACAACAAACACTCTGTGAGGTGAGTGGGGCTGAGAGACTTCAAAGAAGTGTGACTGGCCCAAGGTCACCCAGCAGCTGCATGTGGAGGAGCGGAGACGCGAACCCGGTTCCCCAGATTATGAGACTACCGCTCTTAACCACTATACCACACTGGCTCTGTTTTTCCACAGCCTGGTTTTGCATGCCTGCAATAGTGTACCTTTCGTTTCTGCACAATATACTAGTTCTAGTGCACCCCACTAAGTGACCTTATCTGGGCAGCCCCACCAAGAGCTGCTAGAGTCTAGACCAGGGGTAGGCTACCTAAGGCCCGGGGGATGGATGTGGCCCAATCGCCTTCTCAATCTGGCCCGCGGATGCTCCAGGAATCTGTGTGTTTTTACATGAGTAGAATGTGTCCTTTTATTTAAAATACATCTCTAGGTTATTTGTGGGGCATAGGAATTCGTTCTTTCCCCCCCAAAAAAACCATATAGTCCGGCCAACCACATGGTCTGAGGGACGGTGAACCAGCCCATGGCTGAAAAAGGTTGCTGACTCCTGGTCTAGACCAAAGACCCAAAATATGGGTAAGCCTGGCCAGTGTATGGAACCACCGGTATACCACTTTGAGAGAGGTCTCCCGTATATTGACTGAAACTGAAAATGGCTTGGCATACCAGATTTCCACCACCACCACCCCCCCCAATAAAACTGGGTCTGGAGTTTCCACCAGCTTTCCCTTCCACATTGCCTTCAGACTTTCAAAAGAGGGTAGTCAGTGTCTCAAGAAACCTGTTGCCACCAATTACTACCATTGTAAATGGATGCTGTTGTTACCTTGCATACGTTTGAGCTTTGCTTACCACATTCTTGCACTTCATGGACTTCAAGTCCCAATGTTTGCACTTTCTTTCCTCCATACCTATGTTTGTATTTAGAAATTATATACCTGTCATCTGGGGATAATGTCATGCATCTGATAAATGCACCAATCCACAAATGTTTGTGCAAGAAGACACCATATGCTCTCCTGTTTTGATTTCAGTAAAATAACATGGTCAACCATCTGGAATCAAGTATACCTCATATTTGTTGTCTGGTCACAAAACACACACACACACACACACACACACACACACGATGATGTATGTAGTCTGTAATAAGATACTGCTTTATTCCAGTCAGCTAATTAATTGGTTAAAAGAAAAAGATGCAATAATCTATGAGGTTTTGGCAGTCCTCTATAATAAGTAAATACTATTGTTCTTTCCTCCCCCCTAAAACAATGCACTTCTGCAATAAAATCCATTAATCTTTTTAAAGCGTTTCCAGTGATATATTCCCTAGTTGCGAGCTAGTTTATTACTCTAACATTAAAATCTGCAGTTTACTTAGGACACTTCCTTTTTAGCTCCAAATTTATCCATGCATCACACACACACACACACAATCAAATCAAATATGCTGAGGCAGCCAAATAAACCAAGAAAATTATGTATCTGTAATCTGCATCTGATTTAGCTACAAATGAGGCCATTCAGTGTGAATATCCGGCACACAGGCAACTGAATTTTCAAGGTCATTTGAGTCTGAAATTAAAGGCAGAGTTCCACTTGGAGAACAATGAATTCAGAAGCTATGTGCCTAGAAGCCTCCCCACAGCCAAGTCCCCAAGCCATCAGTTTCAAAGAGTGCTTTACAGATTCCCTTTTGAACATTCGAAAAAATGTAATTTGAGCCTATTCCAACGCAGCTCCATTTACACGCTATGAACTACCTTCTTTTAACAAGTTAGACATGCTTTCATGATCTATGTACTCATGAGTGTATTCTTTCTACGTCAAGTATTGTAACACAGTCATTTGTTTTCTCACTTTATAAGAGGCATTAAATGCCTCCAGCCAAGTTTCGAACCACGAGCTCAATGTAAAATCTGCATCTTCCCTTTACAGCCTGGTTTTGCATGCATGCAATAGTGTACCTTTCGTTTCTGCACAATATACTAGTTCTAGTGCACCCCACTAAGTGACCTTATCTGGGCAGCCCCACCAAGAGCTACTAGAGTCTAGACCAGGGGTAGGCAACCTAAGGCCCGGGGGCTGGATGTGGCCCAATCGCCTTCTCAATCCGGCCCGCGGATGCTCCAGGAATCTGTGTGTTTTTACATGAGTAGAATGTGTTCTTTTATTTAAAATACATCTCTAGGTTACTTGTGGGGCATAGGAATTCGTTCTTTCCCCCCCAAAAAAAACCATATAGTCCGGCCAACCACATGGTCTGAGGGACGGTGAACCAGCCCATGGCTGAAAAAGGTTGCTGACTCCTGGTCTAGACCAAAGACCCAAAATATGGGTAAGCCTGGCCAGTGTATGGAACCACCGGTATACCACTTTGAGAGAGGTCTCCCGTATATTGACTGAAACTGAAAATGGCTTGGCATATCAGATTTCCACCACCACCCCCAATAAAACTGGGTCTGGAGGTTCCACCAGCTTTCCCTTCCACATTGCCTTCAGACTTTCAAAAGAGGGTAGTCAGTGTCTCAAAAGTGATTGGTATAAAGCGGAATGGATTCTGAATCCATCACAAACATACTCATTCCTTGCAATGAGGCTCTACAGGACTCACCTTTTGATTAAAAAACATTAGCAGCAATAAAAATGGCATCTACAGAAACATGTATAACGTCTAAGTGAAAGTGAAGATTAGAACTGGGTTTTCATTTATGTTAATGAACAATGATTATTCCAAAGTCCATAGAAACACTTTAACCAAAGTCAATTTATGTCATACTGGGCTCAAAAACTAAATTCCATAACACTGTGTAGAGTTTGTAATTTAATTAAGAAATCCCCTTTAACATTTTAATAGGATGTGAGTGTTTAGTTCTCGCATGTTAGAAAACATTTCCTTTCTCTCCGTGCTTCTTGTTATTCTGTGCCGTTCTCTTTGCCCACAGCTGAGATCAGCAATAATGTCCCTAATATTGTTGTATAGTTTATAAATTTTATATAAAAGGATTTATAAATTGCTTAATATTTTAAAAAATTTCTAAGCGGTGCACAATATAAAAACAAACAATATCATTACAACAAAAGTACAAGCCTAAAAGCTAATAAAACAGAAATATAAAAGCATATGTATTTTTTTTTAAAAAAGGTACTGGGGGTTTCAAAACACATAAACCAGGGTTACATCTTATGGGTCAGGGAAAGCTTAGCCCAAACCTATAAATGCCTTGGGGTGGGGGGGACACACAAAAATGCAGAAATAACACAGTGGACCAAAATACTTTCAGGGACTTGGAACCAGAAGGAATCTGTAAATGCAGGTGGGATGATAGAAGTCTTAAGAGAGGGTGAATAACACAAGCAATTCAAATTGCAATCCTATGCACACTTTGTCGATGGAATTTTCTTGGCAGGGATACTGGAGTGGCTTGCCGGTTCCTGCTCCAGGTGGATCACGTTTGGTCAAAACTCTCCACCATGACCTGTCCATCTTGGGTGGCCCTGCACGGCATAACTCATAGCTTCTCTGAGTTATTCAAGCCCCTTCGCCAGGGTGCTGGAGGAGACTCTTGAGAGTCCCATGGACTGCAAGAAGATCAAACCACTCCATTCTGAAGGAAATCAGCCCTGAGTGCTCACTGGAAGGACAGATCATGAAGCTGAGGCTCCAATACTCTGGCCACCTCATGAGAAGAGAAGACTCCCTGGAAAAGACCCTGATGTTGAGAAAGATTGAGGGCACAAGGAGAAGGGGACGACAGAGGACGAATATGGTTGGACAGTGTTCTCGAAGCTACCAACATGAGTTTGACCAAACTGCGGGAGGCAGTGGAAGACAGGAGTGCCTGGCGTGCTCTGGACCATGGGGTCACGAAGAGTCAGACACGACTAACCGACTAAACAACAACAATGCACACTTACCTAGGTGGGTTAAATCTGAGTTGGCATGAATATGATCGCACAGCGAATGAACTCCTGTGAGGTTTCCTTCTTTTTACTACCACTACACGCCAAGTTCATTGTATAAATCGGGTCCACCTCTTTGTGGGGACGCGTTGTGGATGAGCTGCCAAGAATCCCCCCTCAGCGTGGGGGGCGGGACTGGGTCCTGCCTTATGCTAGGGAGGCTTGGCCACGCCAGTTAGCCAAGCAGCCAGTTTCCTGGATATTGAGGCGCAGGATGCACTGGGAAGTTTTTTGCCGATTGTGAAGGCCAGGGCTGCTTCCTGGGGGGCCTCCCTCAACACTGATTGTGCAGCTGGGCGAGAACGATTTGCCCTTGCAGAAGGGCGTAAACTTGAGATCAAGCATTGAAAAGGACTTTGAGGAGCTGTCAACAACCTTCCCCAAAAATGACACTTTTGTGGTCACAACTCCTGGAAAGATGCGTTTGGAGCGACAGTCTTTGCCCAGCTGCCACTAACAAAGCCAGGAAACTCTTGGACTCAGCTGTGACACAGAAGGTGTTGGCACTGGGTGGCCGGGTGATTTGCCACCCAGGAATTGCTTACAACAACAAGGTCCTTCACCCTGCAGATGGCGTTCATCTTTCCGACGGCGGAAATGATGTGTGGTTGGCCGATATTATCAAAGGCGTAAGAGGTTGGTTGCAGGTGTGAGGGTATTGGCGGCGAGCGTTGGGCTCATGTGGCGGTTAGGTATTGGAATAGCAATGTGTGGGGGAGGGAAGGTGTGGCCATCACCTGCCCCTCCATGCTTAAGGGTATTCCTTTAAAGGAATCTGGGGGTGTGGATCTCGTCCGAAGCCCAGGGAGGGGCTAGGGCCATGCCATGACCCCTTCGGGAACCCAGGGGGTGATCAAGTCGATCCACATCAGCAGGACTCCCCCTACTGGTGATTTACCCTTACCAGACTTCCTGCAAGGCAGGCAGGAGTCAGATATAGTCTGTTGATGCCAATGCCTAAGCCAATACTGCTCACATTCTGTAACCAATAAAGTTGTGGCCTAAATTTTGCCCATTAACCTAAAATTCTGTGTCCTTGTGTCTTTATTCTCATGGGGGTGGCTTGGGGCTTTGACACACAACACGTTTACTGATATCACACACACACACACATTGAGAGAGAGAGAGAGAGAGAGAGAGAGAGAGAGAGAGTTCTCCTTCAATTGACTCAGAATAAGTCACCCTATTTTTAAAAAAAGGTATCAAGAAATGGCTTAAAGGGATTTTTTTTTTTCATTTGTGGTGGGATTGCAAAATTGTTAAGTACTGGGAAATGATTTATAATGGATTGAAGATGTTTAAAATATTTTTTGTTAAAAAAAACAGAAGCTTTCCTACTAGGTATTACTGGAGTGGATATACCAAGACTGCAAAAAGACTTATTTAAGTATGCAACGACAGCCGCACGAATACTATTAGCACAACATTGGAAAGAAGAAGGTGTCCCAGCTAAATAAGATTGGCAAGTGAAATTAATGGAATATGCTGAAATGGCGAAGTTGACTTTGAAATTAAGAGGAAGAGATGACAATGAATTTAAAGAAGAATGGACTTTATTGCATATATACAGAAGCAGTGTACACAAGTTAATACATAAGCAGGATTTTAAAAATACAGTGGTACCTCGGGTTACAAACACCTCTGGTTACAGACTCCACTAACCCAGAAGTAGTACCTCGGGATAAGAACTTTACCTCAGGATGAGAACAGAAATCATGTGGTGGCAGTGGGAGGCCCCATTAGCTAAAGTGATACCTCAGGTAAAGAACGGTTTCAGGTTAAGAACAGACCTCCAGAACGAATTAAGTTCATAACCAGAGGTACCACTGTACTTGTAAAGACATTATGGCTGGACAATAAGTAATTTTAATGATTTTATAATTTAAAATTGACATGCGGTATGATGATAAACAACAGAACCAGGGAAGGGAATCGAGGGAACTCAACTCTATTTCATCTATGTTTGAATAGGTCTTGCTGTTTTTGTTTTTATTTTTTGTTTTTGGAAAATTAATAAAACAATATGTTATTAATTTATTAAAAGATAAATAAATAAATATTATATTATTTATTATATAAATATTATTTATTAAAAGAAAGGAATGGCTTAATATATTATTTCAAGTCATTCTGAGGCAAAACATGGATTTGATGCCTTCTCTAATCCCTATCCCCTGCCTCAGATATAAACCCATTTCCTTGACCAGTCCATCCATGTGCTCCCCTTGAGCCGCTGTTTCACCAGTGGTGGTGCTGGGGTTTGAGTGTTTGAGGGAGAGGGATCTTCTTCTCCTCCATTGTCTGGCACTGCCAGAGGAACATACCAGGGGTGGTTGGAAATATCATTGTAGACTCCTGGCAGGGAAGTGAGCTGTTGAGACAGATGTCAGAGATGCAGAATTCTGCAGGTGGAATAGGAGATACAGACACCTTATTTGAACCAGAAGGCTATGGTTACCATCTTTGGAACAAGCCAGGATCCTAAACCAATCTCAAACTGTGGTTTTTGAATCTTGGCTTGTTCCAAAGCTGAGCTATGATTGTTCAAATCAGGCCACTCTATAAACCTAATATCACATGCAATCTAGCCGGTGCATAAACAGAAAATATGCATAGTTTTAACTCAGAAACTAAGGTGTGGGTTAAATGAATGCATAGATGGCAATTTGCCTTATTTTACCTGGTGCCTTGATTGCGTATCTTTAGGCAAGGTGAAAACATCTCTCTATAACTAGACCTTTGTCTGATCAACATTCTGTGGTCTTTTAAATGTGTGTGTGTGAGGGGAATTATTGGTTTGTTTCTGTTTTATTGTGTGTTTTATGTTCTCATTTTTTTATTTTCATGTTGTGAACTGTGCTGGTATCTTTGAATGAAGGGCATCATAATCACCATCATCATCATCATACATGTATTTTGTGCAATACCAAATTTAAGCTTTCTGAAGTTTCAGTAAGCCAACTTTTTAATATTCCATATTTTTGTTTAAAAAATGGTTCTAGAGAAGGGTGGGTTTATAAGTCTGCTCCAAAACATGGGGGGGGGAGTAAAATATTTCAATTTTTTGGAATAGACTCAAGCTCTCAGGGCAACTACATGGCATGGTGGTCAACCTTGAGGCCATATTAAACAAACTTACTTGCAGGTAATTTCCACTGACACCAATGGGACTTGGAATCAATACCCATGTAAGCTCAGTCCTCTATTTAACAGAGTCATCTGTTGGAAGGGATGTGCAAGCCAAGTACAGTTTAAAAACAAATAACTGTAAGAAGGGAGAGCAGGGACTCTGAAGTTACCCACTGACAGTACCTGGGCAGCAGATGGAGCAGGCACACAGGCCACCTGGCCAGTGTCTTCCCTTCTATGATGACATGTATTATATTTTTATTTGAAGTTTAGGAATTATTTCTGAATTTGCATTTAGACATCTAATTGGTACATGGACATTTTGTGCAAATAAAAAACAAACAAACGGTGATGCATTTTCTCTTTTTTGGCAAAAGCACTCTAGCTGGAATGAACTTTTCAACTTTTTGAATGGTGCAAAGTTTTGTCTATGGGTTTTTGCAATTCTCCATTCATACTTAAAGCCAGCTGGCACATGTTTAAAATGCTGCTGTATGACATGGAAATATCATCCCAAAAAAGTTCAGAGTTTGTGTGGGAGGTGTCATAACCGACATTTACAAATTCTAATAAAAATAACTGGATCCTCTCTGTTATTCTCCCTGTAAAAAAAAGTCAGTGGACATAAAACATGACAAGACATTTAAAGAAGCAGAAGGAATGTGTATTAAGTGTGAATGTGAACAATGTGAATTGATAATAATGACTCTTTATTTCACATTTTTGTGTTCAAGAGCTGTTTTCTAGAGACAACAGTTCTATTATTTCATTTTATAAACCTGGAACTGAGATTAACAGACCCAACCAGTCAAGAAACCCAAAGCTGAGATTTGAACTCAAGCTTCCCAGATCTACACTCAGTTCTCTCACCAATGAACTGCATTGGTATTTATATCAGCTATGGAAAAACAGAATTATTGCAAGGAGGTTACTTTCTTTTCAGCTACAAGTTTCCCGGAGTACAAGATAAAATGATAGGATGGAAATTAATAATGCTAGCTTAAAAACGGAAAAAAACCAATTACTTTTTTTAATAATTAGTAATGGTCTTGTATGCTTTGAAAAGATTAATTATCCCAGGGCCAAATGAATGTTCCACAGTACTGTTCTCTAATGAGCAAATTTACATACAATTTTGTAAAATGTGTACAATATCATCTGCAACATAGTTTTATTACCGAAAGGGTTCAACAAAATCCCATTAATTCTCCTTTTGATCAAAGTGAATATTTAGTGTGCTTCATCATGTGCTTACTACTTGCTTACTTGGAAAATAAAAGCACTGAGAACCACTTTCAAAAGACACGGTTTCGGCGATGGATTATTAGGGGCAGCATCCTGAAGATGAGAAGATACAGCTGGTTGGGTATCAGAAAGTTAGGGAGTGTTGTATCTTTGCTTCAGAATGACAACTTCACTGATCAGGGAGTGTGTCTGATATATATATAGAGAGAGAGAGAGAGAGAGAGAGAGAGAGAGAGAGAGAGAGGTACCTCGCAAGACGAATGCCTCGGAAGACGAAAAACTCGCAAGACGAAAGAGTTTTTCGTTTTTTGAGTTGCTTCGCAAGACAAATTTCCCTATGGGCTTGCTTAGCAAGACGAAAACGTCTTGCAAGTTTGTTTCCTTT